CTCCGCTGGAACCTTGGTTTCGTGAGTCTGGTTTTGTCATTAAACTTGTTCAAATACCTATTATCATTGGTCTCCATTAATCCAACCTCCACACTGAGGTACTCAAGGGCTAACTCAGTTTCAGATCCACTGTGCACACCATGTCCTGTCCACCTCCCTCCTCTCGTCAGCTCCTGAGTCCTCTCTCCTTACTAACAGTGTAAGTGCAGGGCAGTCGGTGTTGGGGTGTGGGGGTCATGCTTCAGAAATGGTTCACTGCTTAATGTGCCTGATCTATTAGTTAAACTGGATCAAAGGGGAGTCTGAACGGTAACAATGGAATGTGGGCGTCCTTCACTGCTGGGCTGAGTCCAGGCACCTGCAGGGTAGGGCAACAGCTGCCTTGAAGCTCTGTTCTGGCTTCACAGAAACTTGGGCTGTGGAAGGAAGGTCTTTGTCATACCCGACAACTGGGACCAGGGATGCACCATCTGGGACAAACACTGGGGAGACTGTGGGTCTAGCACGTGGCTGTTTTAACCCATTCATTCACATAAGAACACAGATCCCTGAGCATCAGGCTTGGCAGTCTGAGCCGCCCACTGCAGGTGAACACAGGAGCCTGGTCTCTGTGGGAGTCTGTGTGGTGCTTGTGGATGGACTTAGTGTATATATTATTAATCGAAGCCACACAATCTCATAAATAAACTACATTAGTTTTCCCTATATGTGGGATATAGCCAACAGAATACGGTTATGTGTAGACACGTGTACACATGTGTACAGTATAGGAAGATCACCTAAATATCGGGGATGCGGCCGGACTGAATGCAGGCAATGGACTTGAGTTATGAAGCAGGATATAAAGTTAATTGTTTTCTAGTTATAAATCTGTCATAGATTTCTCCTTCTTTTCTCTTTTCTTTCATTTTTTTCATATAGGTGCTGAATGGCTTAAAACAACCATGTGCTAGACCCACAGTCTCCTAGTGTTTGTCCCAGATGGTGTACCCTGGTCCCAGCTGTTGTGTTGACAAAGACCTTGCTTCCACAGCCTAAGTTTCTGTGAAGCCAGAACAGAGCTTCAATGCAGCTGTCTGCTTACCCTGCAGGTGAACATGGCTGTTTCTTTCTTCTGAGCTTCCCCTCGACCCAAGAATGGATAAGGAAAATGTGGTACATTTACACAATGGAGTACTACACAGCTGAAAAAAATAACGACATCTTGAATTTTGCAGGCAAATGGATGGAGCTAGAAAACAGCATTTTGAGTGAGGCAACCCAGACCCAGAAAGACAATTATCATATGTACTCACCAATAAGTGGTTTTCAAATATAAAGCAAAGAAAACCAGCCCACAAATCACAATCCCAGAGAACCTAGACAACAATGAGGATCCTAAGAGAGACGTACATAGCTCTAATCTACATGGGAAGTAGAAAAAGACAAGATCTCTTGAGTAAATTGGGAGCATGGGAACCTTGGGAGAGGGTTGGGTTGAAAGGGAGGGGAGAGGCAGGAAGGGGAGTAAAGGAAACTGTAGAACTCAATAAAACTAAATAATAAAAAGAGAGAGAAAGACCTAGGTTTATTGAATGAGGACAAAGTCCCAAGTCCTCAGAAGTGGCTTTCAGGTTCTGAGAGCATAAAGGTGTGGTTTGGTTGGGAAGTATAAAAAGCTGCTGGTGGTTTCAATCTTGCTCTCTCTTTCAGGTTCATCCTGAGAGGATGGTCCGGATCTCACTGCGCTGCTCCCAGGCTCTGCTTTCCTATTATGCTGCCGCGGACCGTCCCTCTCGGAGACCACCACCCACGGGGGACCAAGGTGAAGGATAGGATAGTCAGGATACGATGCAAGGGAAATGACAGACAGACACACTGTGTAGTGAAAATCTGCTGCAACTTTACTTCTGTAAAGCTTCAGTTTTTGTACAAAACAGATCAAAGAACTTGGCAGGTGCATTACATCACCCCACTCAGGGTTCCAGACATAAATCAAGATTAAGCATAACCAAAATAGAGCTTCTTCTACGTGCTCCTTTCTACGTGTTCCCCCTTCCGTGCTCAAGATGTTGGCAAGGACTTTTAGTTTTGTTTTGTCTTTTAGAATTCTGTCTCACACCATTATTTACTTTCTACCGTGGGAGACTAGTTCTCAGGGTCCTGTGTTTAGCTTTCCATCTATATAGTTTTTATTCTTTGCTCCATATCCCCTAATAGTTTTCTCATTTTCTCATGATAGTTCCTATACCAATATATTAAAACTCAATAATTTCCTTTCTTTCCTTCTTACTATAAAGACACCAGGGCTTCTGAGATCTAGCTAATCTTTTCATAAAGGGGAATTTTCTCTAAATCTCCTTTTCTCTCTAAATCTGATTCACTATGACGATTCCCTCGTAACATATCAACTTTAGCCATTTCTGTTTCATAAATAATAAAGTTTCCCAGGCTCATGTGGCATGGGGCATACTTCAGTTCCTCAAGGACTGCTTTAATGAACGGTGGAGCCGAGCCAAGGACGTACTTTGATCTCTTAGTAAGCGGTCAGCTATAAACAAGAAAATTAAGAAATACAGAGAAAGATCAAGCAAGGTGTTAGGAGGGCTCGCTCTCAAGGCTATCTCCAGATACGAGATTTGCCTAGGGCATCAGGTCCTCTCTGGACTGCTGATTGCCAGGGGGACCACCTGGGGCTTCGCTCCAAGAAGCTCTAACCCCAATCCTTCAGCAGGCAAAAGCCAGTGCAGAGGCATTTTGTCACTACACGGCAGTCACTGCTGTGGACGTGGCATTATGCCACAGCTGTGTCCTGGCATCCTGCCCCCTCCAGCGCTTTTCATTGCTTCAGGCTACACGGACAACAATGGCGTTCAAGCCCTTTGAGCCCTGAGTACAGACAGTGGAGCAAGTAGAAGGAGCTGGAGCTCTGGGTACTCACAGGAGCACAGACAGAATATCCAAACCTGCCTTCAGAACCTGCTCCACTTCTACAACCAGAGTCAGGGCGGTGAGTGACTTCTGGTCGGAGATCAAGAACCCATAGGGCCCCATGAAAGTCCCGAATCTCTCCTGATCCCAGTTCGAGATTCCGCAGGAGGCTGTGGGTGTCTGAGTTTTGCTTTAGATTTGGGGACTGTTCCTGCGCATGGGCGGTATCCGGTTGGCCACTTTCAACTCTGCTTGGATTCCTATCTCCAGACACAAATGATGAACTCACAGTTCTCATTTTGAGGAGTCCAAGAATAAGAAAATAAAAATGTACATTCCAAAAATAAGAATGTAGAAATAAAGAAATATAAAGTTATGAGTCTAGGGGAACAGACTGTCAGCAGCTTTCTCAGCAGATCAAGGATCAGTCATTCACAGTGAGCTATTTTCTCGGGTGCTTGGGAAGCCTCCATTAGCCTAGGTCATTTCATTTTACAACTGGCTGTTCATTCTATTTACAAGGCCGGAGTTTCTCTCTGCACAATGAGAGTAGTGTCCTGGCCATCCTTGATGAACTGAGTTCACCCTTAGGAGACAGAGATGCATGACCTCTGGGTTAGGCACTGTCTCTGTTATGAAAACTGGCACCATCATAGGGGAGGCAGGGGCTTCAGTATACACTGCCTGGAGGAACCAGGAGAGACAGTGACCACGGTGCAAACACCTGGTTAGACTAATGGGCTCCGAGAATGGAGGCTGTAAAGTATGGCAGTCTGTGTCTGAGTTTTACCTTGAGAGAGTGTGAAGAACTTTCTGCTATCTTCTAAGTTCCCAGCCTAAGAACCAATCGACTCTAATTTATTAACCTCCTGGTATTACTAGCAGTCCCTTTTCTAATTAATTGCTAAAGACACAGCTTTCTTGCAATAAGTGACTTTCATTGTAATCTACTCTGAAACATATTCCATGATAGCTGCCTACTTATCCATTGACATTAGAACCCACTCCCCTCTTAGGGTCTACTTTGACTGACCTACTACTTTGATCAGGGCAAGATCATAAAAATTCCTTTGTTCAGACCTAACACTTGGTGACCCTACTATAAAAGGTGGGTTCAAAAACTAGCCTTTTGCCACAGCCTAACAAGCACCATCCCTGGCTGTGGTCTCAGCTAGCTGATAAGCTTCTGTGCCCCTCGGTGTTGTTGTTGTTGTTTTTTAATTTTTAAGCTTGCTTTTGGTTTTCCTAGGATCTGGTTTCTGGAATAAAGTTTGCTTCTAGTTTATATTAGACTTGGGGATGTTCTCATCTTTGCGCGACCCCCCTGGACCCAACAATTGGAAACCTAGTTACTAGAGAAACCAATAGTTACACAGAGGTTCCAAGTACAACAGTTTGCAGGAATCGCATCTACACCCTTCATAGGTTCCTGTACGTACTGAAGACCATGTCTTAGACACAGGCTAGTGAGTAAGGGGTGGGGAGACTCTGCGGGATGGAGCAGGAAGCTGGGTGGGAAGTACCCTGTAAATGTATCTTACTGCCCTTCCCCGTGTCTCCCCTGCCTTCACCTGGGAACTTGGGACCAGAAAGAGGGTCGGTGTCTCACTGCTGGCCTCCCCCAGGCTCGCACTCGCTGCGGTATTTCTACACCGCTGTGTCCCGGCCCGGCCTCGGGGAGCCCCGGTTCATTGCGGTCGGCTACGTGGACGACAGGCAGTTCGTGAGCTACGACAGCGACGCAGAGACTCCGAGGATGGAGCCGCGCGCGCCGTGGGTGGAGCGGGAGGGGCCGGAGTATTGGGAGAAGGAGACGCGGAAAGCCAGGAACACGGGGAAGAACTTCAAATTGAACCTCAAGACCCTGCTTGGCTACTACAATCAGAGTGACGACGGTGAGTGACTGCGGCCCCGATCACAGACACGGCCCCTCCATCTCCCCTGAACAGGCTTGGGTCATCTTCAGCCGCTGAGCCATAATTTCATCAAAACACCTGCCCAGACTCTCAGACAGGAAAGACCCAGATTTGGGTCAGGTTTAGGTTGCACATTTGATTCTGAAATGTCGGGTTGTGGACAGCGGGCAGGGTGGCCGCAAGGTGGCGCTAACCACTGTGTCCCCACCAGAACCTCACACTCTGCAGTGGATGTATGGCTGTGACATGGGTCCAGATAAAAGCCTGCTCCGTGGGTACTGTCAGGAGGCCTACGATGGCCGGGATTATATCTCCCTGAACGAGGACCTGCGCTCCTGGACCGCAAATGACGCGGTCTCTCAGATCTCTAAGCTCAAGTCAGAGATTGTGAACGAGGCCGACCACCAGAGAGCATACCTGCAGGGCCCCTGCATAGACTGGCTCCATAGATACCTGGAATTGGGGAACGCGACCCTGCTGCGCTCAGGTACCTGGAGACCAATCCTTGCTTTTCCTCGGTAGTGTGGGAGAAAGGCTTGGGGCATCCTCAGAGGAAGAACACTGTCCAGCAGGCACCGGGCTGAGGAATAAGGACAGGGAGACTCCAGGCTGCTTTTCCCATTGGGAGACTAACCCTTTTAGAGCAGGTCAGCCTTGAAGATGGCCCTGGACCACAGGAGCTTTTTCTCTCAGGCCTCCTTCTGTGGTCACCTTCGGTGTCTCTGGAGTCTGACTCCAGCTTTTCTGAGTCTCCTGGCCCTCACTCAGATCAGCACCAGAATCTCTTCCCCTCCATCAGTCTGCAGAGCCCTGAAGCCTCCTACCCCAAACTGTCACTCACATCTTAGAGCATCCCGAAGAGCACATGACCCCGGGGCCTGAGCTCTAGCTGGGGTCTACTAATATCAGGACACCCTAATCCCACCCCAGTTCCCCTGTCCATTCCCAGACTGGTCACATGAACACTGCTGAGTCCCCAGAAGTTGGCAAGATGTCTCATCTTCACAACTCTTTTCCTCAGACCCCCCAAAGGCACATGTGGCCCATCATCCTGGGTCTAAAGGTGATGTCACCCTGAGGTGCTGGGCCCGGGGCTTCTACCCTGCTGACATCACCCTGATCTGGAGGAGGGAGGAGGAGGAACAGACTCAGGACATGGAGCTGGTGGAGACCAGACCTTCTGGGGATGGAACCTTCCAGAAGTGGGCATCTCTGGTGGTGCCTTCTGGGGAGGAGCACAAATACACATGCCATGTGTACCATGAGGGGCTGGCTGAGCCTCTCACCCTGAGATGGGGTAAGGAGGGAGAGGGTGCAGAGCTGGAGTCAGGGAAAGCTGGAGCCTTCTGCAGACCCTGAGCAGGGTCAGGGATGAGAGCTGGGGTCATGACCCTCACCTTCCCTTCCCAGAGCCTCCTCAGTCCACGGTCCCCATCATGGCAGTCATTGCTGTTCTGGTTCTCCTTGGAGCTGTGATCATTGACACTGTGGTGGCTGTTGTGAGGAAGAGGAGGAGAAACACAGGTAGGAAATGACAGAGTCTGAGTTCTCTCTCAGCCCCTTTTAGAAGTGTCTCTGCCTCATTAATGGGAAACACATCCACACCCCTCATTGCTGCTGTCTCTAACCTGGGTCTGCTGTCGGTTCTGGAAACATTCTTGGGTTGGAGTCTTTCTGGTTTCTCACAGCTTTTCTTCTCACAGGTGGAAAAGGAGGGGACTATGCTCATGTTTCACGTAAGTTTGTGGAGCACTTGTCCAGATAGCTTCCCCTTGGGTTACCATTAGAGGGATTCTGGGCCAGGGTTCAGGGAGACAATGTTATAGACAGGGCTCCCTTCAGTGGAAAGAGTCAGGACAAAATTCCGTGTCCTCAGAAATGGCTTTCGGGTATGAAAACTGAAGGAAGGTGGAGGTTGGGTTGGGAGGTTTTGGTTTCACTTCTTGCTGTGTTGTTGTGTCAGGTGATTCCTGCTCCCATTGACTCCAAGAGAACAGCCTGAAAGGCTCTGTGAAGACAGTTACAAACTAACGACTATTCTTTGGCTCCCCCAAACCCTAAAGATGGGCATCCCTGTGCTACTATTGCTTACTGCTGCCCAGGGCTCCGCCCAGATACAGACAGGTGAGTACTTGGTCCGGTCTGGTCCGGAGGGTTGTAGTCTCAGTGCCGAGGGTGGCGGGGTTCGCACCCCGGAAGCCGCTTTGCCCAGCCGGACCCTCCACCCTGCTCCCTGTTTCCATCCCGGCCCACGCACCTGTCAGGGTCCCGAAATGAGGGTCGGGGTCTCACCGCCCGCCGCCCCCAGGCTCACACTCGCTGCGGTATTTCTACACCGCCATTTCCCGGCCCGGCCTCGGGGAGCCCCGGTTCATTGTCGTGGGATACGTGGACGACATGCAGTTCATGAGCTTCGACAGCGACGCGGAGACTCCGAGGGCCAAGCCTAGCTTACCGTGGGCAGAACAGATGGGGTCGGAATACTGGGAGGACCAGACGCTGAAATTCAAGAAGGACACACAGAATTTTCGAAAGTGCCTTCAGAACATGCTCCACCGCTACAAACAGAGTCAGGACGGTGAGGTCAAGGCCCTTCATGGCCCCACAGATGGGCCCGACTCAACCCTAATCCTAGTGTTTGAGATTCTGTAGGAGGCTGTGGGTGTCTTGACTTTTGCCTTAGGTTTGGGGACTGTTTCTTCGGGTGGGCAGTATCGGTGTGGGCCCGACTGAGTACAGGACGGGGCGGGCCAGGTTCTCACACTATCCAGAACATGCATGGCTGCTACGTGGGACCAGATGGGTGTTTTCAGCGTGGACACTATCAGCATGCCTATGATGGCCGTGATTACATCACCCTGAATGAGGACCTGCGCTCCTGGACCGCAGCAGATAAAGTGGCGCAGAGCACTCAACGGGAGTGGGAGGAGGCTGGTGTGGCAGAGGAATACAAGGCTTACCTGAAGGGCACATGCGTGGAAACACTCCATAGATTACTGGAAGAAAACTCTTTAACCCTCAGGTAAGTGGTGGGTAGAATAATCCTCCTTCTGCACCCTTGCTGGGACTGTTCTCTCCTAATCAGGAAAGAAAAAGGAACAGCTAGAATAGAATATTCTTTCTCTCCTGCTCAGGATGGAGCAAGCCTTCTGGTTTTCTTGAGTCAGTATCATAGGGTGGCTCTCCCCTGGGCTCACCCTTCTTCCAGGGCAGTTCAGGGTCTGTTTCAGGATAAAGTGGGAAGGTGCCTGGAATGACCAGCAGCAGCCCCAGTGAGCTATGGCCTCTCTCAGGCCTGATTCCCTCCTGACTCCAGTGACACCGAGTCTCTGAGTCTTAGCCAGTCAGGAGCAGGAGTTCCTTTCTCAACAGGTGGTGAGATACCAGACTCTTTGACCCAAATCCTAGAGATTCCCAAAGAAAAGATGATCTACATGGCTTCAGGGCATTCTGCCCCTATCTGCACCCAGCTTTTCTGTCCCTTTCCAGGATTGATCACATAGGTTTCTGGAGTCCCCAGGAAGAATGCAAAATGCCTGAGCTTTCCAACTCTTTCCCTCAGACCCTCCAGAGACACATGTGACCCATCATCCCGGATCTAAAGGTGATGTCACCCTGAGATGCTGGGCCCTGAGCTTCTACCCTGCTGACATCACCCTGACCTGGAGGAGGGAGGAGGAGGAACAGACTCAGGACATGGAGCTGGTGGAGACCAGACCTTCTGGGGATGGAACTTTCCAGAAGTGGGCAGCTCTGGTGGTGCCTTCTGGAGAAGAGCAGAGATACACATGCCATGTGTACCATGAGGGGCTGCCTGAGCCCCTCACTCTGAAATGGGGTAAGGAGGGAGTGGGTGCAGAGCTGGTGTCAGAGAAAGCAGGAACCTTCTCATTCTCTGAGCAGGGTCAGGGATGAGAGCTGGGTCATGGCCCTCACCTTCCCTTCCTGTCCTTCCCTTCCTAGAGCCTCCTCAGTCCACGGTCCTCATCATGGCAGTCATTGCTGGTCCGGTTCTCCTTGGAGCTGTGGTCATTGGAGCTGTGGTGGCTGTGGTGATGAAGAGGAGGAGAAACACAGGTAGGAAAGGGCAGGGTCTGAGTTCTCTCTCAGCCCCTTTTAGAAGTGTCTCTGCCTTATTAATGGGAAACACATCCACACCCCTCATTGCTCCAGTCTCTAACCTGGGTCTGCTGTCAGTTCTGGAAACTTCCTAGGGTCAGGGACTTCCCTAATCTCTCACAGCTTTTCTTCTCACAGGTGGAACAGAAGGGAACTATGCTCCGGCTCCAGATAATTGTGGGATGCAGGATTGTTCCTGAGACCCTTGGAATGTATTTGGAGCTGGTGGACAGCTCAGCCAGCCCCTAATTCCTCCAGCCACATCCTTTCAGTCTCCTGAATGTGCCTTGTCCTTTCTTCTTCTGCAGGCAGGGGCAGTGCTCCGAGCCCTGTCTTATCTCTGGAGGCTTGAAAAGGTGACACCCTAGGCTGTTGGGAACTGTGAATTTACTTTTTTTTTTTTTCCTTTTTCTTTGTTGACATTTTGAGATAAGGTTCCTCCGTAGCTTTGGAACCAGTCCTAAGACTTGCCAGGTAGCCCAGAATGGCCTTGAACTCACAATTCTGCCTCCTAAGTGCTGGGTTTAAAGGCAAGTGCCACCACCAGCAGACTGGAAACTGTGAACTTTCTAAATAAACTTTATATTCAATAACATGAGTTTTTCAAAACTAATACTTTGTTTAAACATCAAAATTTTAGGGTGCTGGAGAGATGGCTCAGCAGTTAAGAGCATTGCCTGCTCTTCCAAAGGTCCTGAGTTCAATTCCCGGCAACCACATGGTGGCTCACAACCATCTGTAAAAGAGGTCTGGTGCCCTCTTCTGGCCTGCAGACAGACACACAGACAGAACATTGTATACATAATAAATAAATATTAAAAAAAAAAAGAAAATAGCTGAGACTCCTTCCGACTCACAAGATGCTGAAGTAACATTGGATTTAGTTTGGGTTTTCACGGGTTCAGCTCTGCCCTTAAAGAGGTGAGATTAATTCCTCCTCTGGGTTGTTCAGGACTTACTGTCTCCTGATGGAGGGATAATTGGGGATGGGCTGTGATCTGGGTTTGAATACTGAGCATATTACACTCCTGTCCCCACCCCTATGGCTGTCTCTAAGCAAGTTATCTGTTGTGCCAAGAGACCGAGGGGGCTGGAGAGATGGTTCAGAGGTTAAGAGCACTGGCTGCTTTTCCCTGGGTCCTGAGTTCAATCTCCAGCAATTACATTACATCCATCTGTAATGGATGTAATTACATCTGTAATCCCATCTGTAATGGGATCTGGTGCCCTCTTCTGGCCGGCAGGCAGACATGCAGACAGAGCAATTGTATACAAAAAAAAAAAAAAAGCAAGACCTAGGTAAGTAGGGACAATCCAGGAGACAGCCAGCAGGAACCTGATCCCTTTCCAGCTGCTCATGTGACCCCAGCTCTCCTGAAGCCTTGAGACAACACAGCAAGATGACAACTGAACTGTGACCTGGGAGAGGTCATGAGCCAGGGTCTCTTGTGGTCTCACACTGTAGGAAGTAATGAATGATTGGTATCTCCAGACAACCAGACACGGAGCTTGGCTGGTCTGGTAAGGGCAACAGATAATTGAGAAGTGGAATTCTCCCACAACCCTCCCAACCCTCCTGAGGAGTTCGAGGACTCTGAGCTGAAGCCCCAGCTTTCAAAGATCAAAGACGGGAAATTATCGGGCCTTGCCATTCGTCCTAAACTATTCACTTCTCCAGCTCCTAACCTGGGTCAGTCTCCTAACCCGATACTGATGACAACTTGGCGGCTCTCACTCCCCATTGAGTGGCGGGATCCCGGAGAACCAACCACCGGTTATAAAGTTCACGCAGACCGCGGAACTCAGAGTCGCCCCAGATCTGAGATGGGGGCGATGGCTCCGCGCACGCTGCTCCTGCTGCTGGCGGCCGCCCTGGTCCCGACCCAGACCCGCGCGGGTGAGTGCGGGGTCGGGAGGGAACCGGGCTCTGCGGGGAGGGCGGGGCGGCACCGGGGAAGCCGCGTCCCCGCGTGGCCCAGCCGGACCCTCCCGCCTCTTCTCCACCCGCGTCCCGAGCCCCGCGCCCTGCTCCCCTCCCCTCCCGGCCCGCGCCCCTGCCAGGAGTCCCGGGAGGAAGTCGGGGTCTCACCGCACGCCGCCCCCAGGCTCGCACTCGCTACGGTATTTCTACACCATCGTGTCCCGGCCCGGCCTCGGGGAGCCCTGGTTCATCTCCATCTGCTACGTGGACGACACGCAGTTCGTGCGCTACGACAGCGACGCGGAGACTCCAAGGATGGAGCCGCGGGAGCCGTGGGTGGGGCAGGAGGGGCCGGAGTATTGGGAGGAGGAGACACGGAAAGCCTAGAATACCCAGCAGACTATTCAGAGGGAACCTGCAGGTCCTGTCTGCACTACAGTCATAGCTATGAAGTTGAGTGACCACGGGTGACCTCAGAGTCGCCTAAGGCCTCAGTCGCAAGGATCCCATGTCCCAGGTTCTGCTCAAGACTGGAACTGATTTCCTATTCAGAATAGAGGAGGCCCTGGGTGGGTGGGGCCGTGAGACTGGGTTGACCTGGGGATGGACCAGGCTCTTACACCATCCAGGTGATGTCTGGCGGTGATGTGGATTCTATCCTCCTCTGTGGATATGACCGATTCGGGTGTGGCGGCCAGGATTACCTCTCCTTGAACGAGGAGCTCCTAAAACGTGGATATCTGCGGACAAGGCTGTGCAGATCACAAGTCTAGAGTTGGAGCAGAGAGATACAGGGCCTACCTGCTTGGCGAGTGCGTGGAAACCCTCCGCAGATACCTGGAGAACAGGGATGCGACTGTGCGGGCAGGTGCGAGGGACCAAGGGCAGCTCTTCACTCTGCTCTCGGGGTGGGGCTCAGTCCTGAGGGTAAAGAAACCCCGGAGCTGTTTAATTTTTAAAAAACTTTATTACAGAAAATTTAAAAGACAAACAGCAAAACTAAATAAAACACACACTCCAAAATTAAACAGAACATGTCTGTACCTCTCAGTGAAGTTCTATACAACTTCCATGAACAGCCATTCTGAACCAGTTTTGTTCATTGCGGATCTTACACGTTCACTATCAAATGTATTTTGATGCACTTATTCAGCATCAGCACAAAAAGCACCTATGACAAATTCCGTGTAGGCCCATATTTGTACACGGATGGCCACCCAAATCCCAGGCCATTGTTTGCATCTGCCACACAGGAGGTGGTCACCTCCCTAACAATGGGTCAGGGTATGCTAATGCTGTTCTGTTCCTTCATTGCAATTCGGAAGATGCCTGGGATAGAGATGCTAATTTGGCCTACATGACAGAATTGGCAGACAGAGCTGGAAGATGAAGAGAGTTGACAAAATGGGCATAGAGAGGTGTGGTCAAAGGTGTGGACATAACCAGAGACATTCGCCTGGTTACCTAAGAAAGAGAATGCTAATGAATCCCCCCCCCCCCCAGTTTATGTTTTGGTATATAAGGCTGTTTGGAGAATAAACGAGAGAAATTTTTAGGATGTGAACTCAGGATTTCATGAGGGATCACTGAGAATCTCCCTCCCAATAAAGCCTTGTGAGTTGTATCTTTAATCCCATGCTTTCCCTCTGGTCCTGGAAAAATAATTTAGGCTCTGGGCTGGCACCAACCCCGACAATTTAGAACTAGAAAATAATTATACTTATATCCTGTTTCCTAATTCAAGCCCATTACCTACATCTAGTCCTTCCTCATTCCCTGTATTTGGCCTTGCTTGTTGGCTTTTTTATGACTTTATACTGTAACCGCTTGTACATTTGTTTACATACATACAATGATGGCTAAATCCCACTTATTAGAAAAACTATGTGATCTTTTGGGGGTGTCTTTTTTCTTTTTTTTTTTTAGTTTTGCTTGTTTTGGATTGGGT